GTGTAGTTCTGGGATGATTCCTCACTGTTCTCATGATCATTGACACTCCACGAGGTGAGATCTTGCATGGTGCACCAGACCTAGGGAGACTGACAGTTGTTTTGTGTTTCTTCCATTTGTGAATGATTGCACCAACTGTTGTCACCTTCTCACCAAGCTGCTTGGTGATAGTTTTGTAGCCCAGTCCAGCCTTGTGTAGGTATACAATCTTGTCCCTGACATCCTTGGACAGCTCTTTGGTCTTTGCCATGGTGGAGAGTTTGGAATCTGATTGTTTGATTGCTCCTGTGGACAGGTGTCTTTTATACAGGTAACAAAATAAGATTAGCAGCACTCCCTTTAAGAGACTGCTTCTAATCTCAGCTTGTTACCTGTATGACAGACACCTTTTAGCCAGAAATCCTGCTGAATGATAGGGGATCAAATATTTATTTCCCTCATGAACATGCAAATCCGTGCATAATTTTAGACATGCATTTTTTTTAGAAATTTTTGTTGCTATTCTGTCTCTCAGTGTTACAATACACCTACCATTCAATTTTTAGACTGATCCTTTGTTTGTGAGTGGGCAAACATTCAAAATCAGCAGGGGATCAAATACTTATTTCCTTCACTGTATATACTGGATTTTTTTTTCTTTATATACTAGTAATGTCAGCAATCAGTGACTTATAGGGACTGCGGGACTGAAGGGGGTATTCTGACACTGGGGGGGGACGACTGACTAACTGCCACTGACACTAATACAGTGAACAGTGCTAATAAAGATCACTGACAGGAAGGGGTTATATCTGGGGCGATCAAAGGGTTAACTGTGTACTGTTTTACTGTGTGTGCTGTGTGTGTTTTACTAGAGAAACGTACTGCTGTGTATTTCTCTGCACAGCAGAGAAATACACAGCAGCATGTTACTGCTGGCAGGAGGTCTCTCCCATGTCAGTGATACTTGGCGATTGCCGGATGCTGGCGGGGAATCTCCGTCCGAGACCCAGTGATCGAAATCTGCAGCCACCAATGGTGGCACGGGTAGGATGGCACGCGTGTGCGTGCCCCCTACCTAGAAATGCGAAATCACATATATACAGTCAGGTCCATAAATATTGGGACATTGACACAATTCTAACATTTTTGGCTCTATACACCACCACAATGGATTTGAAATGAAACAAAGAAGATGTGCTTTAACTGCAGACTGTCAGCTTTAATTTGAGGGTATTTACATCCAAATCAGGTGAACGGTTGTAGGAATTACAACAGTTTGCATATGTGCCTCCCACTTGTTAAGAGACCAAAAGTAATGGGACAATTGTCTTCTCAGCTGTTCCATGGCCAGGTGTGTGTTATTCCCTCATTTTCCCAATTACGATGAGCAGATAAAAGGTCCAGAGTTCATTTTCAAGTGTGCTATTTGCATTTGGAAGCTGTTGCTGTCAACTCTCAAGATGAGATCCAAAGAGTTGTCACTATCAGTGAAGCAAGGCACCATTAGGCTGAAAAAACAAAACAAACCCATCAGAGAGATAGCAAAAACATTAGGCGTGGCCAAAACAACTGTTTGGAACATTCTTAAAAAGAAGGAACGCACCGGTGAGCTCAGCAACACCAAAAGACCCGGAAGACCACGGAAAACAACTGTGGTGGATGACCGAAGAATTCTTTCCTGGTGAAGAAAACACCCTTCACAACAGTTGGCCAGATCAAGAACACTCTCCAGGAGGTAGGTGTATGTGTGTCAAAGTCAACAATCAAGAGAAGACTTCACCAGAGTGAATACAGAGGATTCACCACAAGATGTAAACCATTGGTGAGCCTCAAAAACAGGAAGGCCAGATTAGAGTTTGCCAAACGACATCTAAAAAAGCCTTCACAGTTCTGGAACAACATCCTATGGACAGATGAGACCAAGATAAACTTGTACCAGAGTGATGGGAAGAGAAGAGTATGGAGAAGGAAAGGAACTGCTCATGATCCTAGGCATACCACCTCATCAGTGAAGCATGGTGGTCGTAGGGTCATGGCGTGGGCATGTATGGCTGCCAATGGAACTGGTTCTCTTGTATTTATTGATGATGTGACTGATGACAAAAGCAGCAGGATGAATTCTGAAGTGTTTCGGGCAATATTATCTGCTCATATTCAGCCAAATGCTTCAGAACTCATTGGACGCCGCTTCACAGTGTAGATGGACAATGACCCAAAGCATACTGCAAAAGCAACCAAAGAGTTTTTTTTAAGGGAAAGAAGTGGAATGTTTATGCAATGGCTAAGTCGATCACCTGACCTGAATCCGACTGAGCATGCATTTCACTTGCTGAAGACAAAACTGAAGGGAAAATGTCCCAAGAACAAGCAGGAACTGAAGACAGTTGCAGTAGAGGCCTGGCAGAGCATCAGCAGGGATGAAACCCAGTGTCTGGTGATGTCTATGCGTTCCAGACTTCAGGTTGTAATTGACTGCAAAGGATTTGCAACCAAGTATTAAAAAGTGAAAGTTTGATTTACGATTATTCTGTCCCATTACTTTTGGTCCCTTAACAAGTGGGAGGCACATATGCAAACTGTTATAATTCCTACACCGTTCATCTGATTTGGATGTAAATACCCTCAAATTAAAGCTGACAGACTGCAGTTAAAGCATATCTTGTATGTTTTATTTCAAATCCATTGTGGTGGTGTAAAGAGCCAAAAATGTTAGAATTGTGTCGATGTCCCAATATTTATGGACCTAACTGTATGTGATTTTGCGCAGCCCTGCCGCCCTGTAGCAGTAGTTCTGCTATAGGGCGGTCGGGAAGCAGTTAATTATAAGTGGAATTGATGAACAGTGAGGTCTCCCTGGTATCATTCCTGATGGTAAATAAACTTCTACCTCACCTCCAAGGAAAATATAAAAGTGCAGAAACATTTTGAAGACCCCTTGTATATGTAATTACTGAAAGTGCACTACAGTTTTTCCTTCTAAAATTAATAGTCCAATAAAAAAAAATGAAAACATGGAGCCTGAGAAGAGGACCTAAAGGCTACTCAAATAAATATTCTAGAACTGTCCTACATGAAAACCTAGTATAATTACCAGGATACTGCATTGCTAAAAAAGGGCACATTTTGTTATTACAGTAGATAAGACAAAGTGACATTTTGAAGTTTCATAAAGCATAGGGGCACTGTAAGGCTCCAAAATGTCACATTGCCTAGCCTGATAATTATATCTCTGAGCATAACAGAGTGCTGGTAATTATACTAGATCTGCAATTTATAGAGTTGCACCATCTGCTTTTTTTTTCCCTAGAACACACTATTTATGGTCTGGAAGCCATTTTGGCTGAAGCTGAATATGCATTTTCTGTCCTAACTGAAAACACATAATTCACATTCATTCTCATTTCCCGAGAACTGCCACTTTGGCACAGGGACCTTACTGACAGTACAAGAAAGCAAAGTAATCTTCTTGGATGTACAGTAAATGCTCTTTGTTTGTCTAATCGGTAGGCTTGGGTAGGTGAACTAAGCTATATTGATGGTGGCAGACAAACATGAGGTCATTGAAGTGCTGTTTTACATGGTTATGTCAATTTTACTGTGTCCATATCAGTTTAATTTTATTATTGGAAATAAGATGGAGTGAAATAGATTGAATAGATAGATATAGACAGCACAAAACAGACTTGAAGAATGGACATTATAGCTTAATTATATCTGTGGAGAACTACTGTAAAATCATAAGACATATCTTGTCATTTTTTTTTTAGGGCTGCAAAGCAGTTTGGTCAGTGCTGTGTTTTAAATACAGTTCGTGGAGAACAATTTGTCTTAACAACACAAAACAGTGAAGAAATCTCTAAGCTGCTCCTTTACTTTGTGGATGGCCTGAAAGCCAGATCTGTGTATGCGGTGGCTCTGCAGGACAGCTCCCGACAGCAACCGAGTACAACAGCAAAACAGGCATGACCTAATGTCCCTACTTTGTAAACACAAGGAACAGTAAAATATATCTAAAGCCACAACTTTTGTTTTGTTTTAGATAAAGTAGGGAATGGATAAAACCTTTGGGGAGACTTCCCCTAATTTCCTTTACTAGATGTAGAAGGATTTCTCTGAATGAGGAAACTCTCTGGTTTGACAGTTGTCATTGAAACAGGTGTTTTCCACTGGGTGATTACTTCTATATTCCTTTTTCAGCTATAGTTTAAAAATTTTGACTTTGGATTTTGATCTGCAGGACAAACAGAGAGAATGGATCTCTCCAGTGGGAATACAGACAGCTATAAAAACTGAACAGGGTTTCTAACCTTTACCTACTTCATCCAAAGCCACAAAAAAGTTCAGATTTTTATGCAAATCACATAGGAATGTACTGTTGTTTTTTGCATTTGCAGAGATATTATATACATAAATTATTGGAATTATTCCAACTGCTATGCAACATTATACACCACTTTGAAAATATGTAGCAGCGCAACCACGTTAGGAATCCTGTACCCATGTAATGTGTGCTGGCCAACCAAAAACACCCTATGGCAGGAGAACTAATAATACAGCTATGTGTATTTCTATATTCACTTTTGTATATTAAATGTAGCAACTGCCATTATTTCATCACAGTTAATAGCCAATTCAGGAATGTTTCATATCAAACAATCCTATAATATTTTTCCTCTTCCAGAATTTTTGTTGGCGACACCTGCTTTTTCCAACATGTAAGCAGGTATCTGATGGGAAGGCTTTTATTTCTTTCCATGTTGGAGAGAAAAGCTGTACATGCATTGTATCTGTCACAAAGTCTTCAGTGAGATAAGGGAAAAGGGCCAAAACTATCAGGTTTCATCTACAACTCATTTAGCGTAGTCATTATGAAGAATAAATTATGATTAATTGTTAGAGGTTACAGCAGTTTGCACATTTTTTCTTTTCTTACCATATAAATATGTTTTAAACAAGGCTTTCTTTGAGACAGTGCAGTGGACTGGGTTCCATGTAAACACGCACAAGTTAAAGTTTTACGAAACCCACAACAGTAAAATCAGTCTGTATATGCAGTAAAGCATGCTTGTTATACTCACTGTGGAACCTAAGGGGTTAATTCTTCGCATTGTGTAAAAAGGCTGTTTGTTCCTCTCTTCTGTGATCCTCCCCTTCTTCCAGTGTCTCCTAAATATCTCCTGATAGAAAAGAGGCTTGGGGGCAAGCTGCACATGTTCAGTTTTGTGTGTATTGCTAGAGAGTTTTTTTTTTTCCTTGAGAGTGCATGTGATCAGCACAGGGCCAATCAGCACTGTCTAGACAGAGGTCAGGGGTCCTGCAGCCTCCTACAGGAGAATTAAAACTCCTCCTACAAGCCATAACCAATGCTTTTCTGGACACTGATTGAAGTCACCAGACTATAATAATTTGTACTGTGGGAGACCAGATATATTGAATGCAGGGTCATGGGTTTAGTAACACTTTAAAATTGCTAATGGCAGTTTTTAGATTGTTGGCTGTATGTATCATCTTACTTAATAAAGCATAACCTGATTCATGTATAGGTTTTGCATCAGATTACAGAGGACACAGAATGTGCACAAAGAGAGAGAGTTTTTCTATTTTATTGTTCTCTATATATCTAACTATCATTAGAGCATTAACACAGATATATCATTCTTTCCCTAGATGAACCTGAGCTTTTGAGTTTTCGGAGTGGAGACCTTCTACAGCTTAACAGGAGTCCAGAGTTCCAGTCAGGGCGCAATTGGATCTATGCCACAAATGAGAGGACTGGCAATAGTGGGACTGTGCCACTGGATGCCATCCATATTGTACCAAGTCTTAGTAAACCCACCCCTGAGATAATTGTACGCATCTCTACAACCTTTTTATGTGAAACAAACAGGCTTATTAATGAAAGTTGTGAGGGCAACTCATGATGTTTAGTGATAAATATAATTCAGTCAGATTTCTTAATGAAATCGAATTAGTGAAAGACGAACTCTGGGTAGTAGTGTTGGTAACTTTCCTTTGTGTTTTTAGTTTTACTATTGAATAACCTGAAATGTACCCAAAAAATCTTCACCAAAGTTAAGGAAAACAAAATTGTTCATAGATACAGGATTTGTCTTCAAAAACATAAATCTCATTTGCAGGAACTTGTCATGGTGCAACCAAGTAAAATTGCATATGAGCACAAACACTTGGGTTGTCAACAGTTTTTCCACCTATTAGTTGAAATGTGTGAGTTGATTTCAGAAAGATATGTGTCCATACACAATATATGATCGTCAACCATATTGGTCAGTGATGCTTGGAATAGGAAGAGCTTTAGTGCCTTTGAGCAATTTGCAGACAACATCTGACCGATCAGAAGGTGTCTGCAAAGGCTGACCTGGATTTCCTGGATGCTTTATCTTTGATTTGCCATACTTGAGCCATTGTCAATGGCTTCTACTCTCACAAGAGAAAGGCATGCTTAGTTGCAGATAATGCATAACTTCTCTATATTTTTAATATGACACGAGCCAGCTGGTGTGTGTCAGGCCTTTGTTATGATCACCAGTAGATTATATAGAAATTATAGGATGTAAACTAACCTGGATATTTTGTCATGCTGTGTTTTATTACAGAATTGGTATGTTATATTGTCTTTACTTCTTAATAATCTTAAATATTTCCAAATACGTGCTTTCCCATTTTATGTTTCAGCGACTGATTGCATTGTCTCCAGAACAGCGCAAATCAGAATTTGTTAACATTCAGTCTGATGACTTTGGTGAGCCAGAAGAGATAAAGCCATATACTTTGGAGGAGTTTGCTATGCAGTATTTCAGGTACTAAAAAATAACACCAACAATGAAACACAGCATCTACACTCAGATGATATCATAATGCCATATATAAATGTAATTGATTTGATGATGACATTATGTGTATTATGCAGGTCTCCAGAGCCTGAGTCTGTTTCCAGGGCCTTTCTCCAAAGATCGCGAGCTAAGACTCAACTCTGGGCCTACTCCAGGGAACCCCTCAGACAGCCTCTGCTCAAGAAAGTGTGTAATATGCCCTGATCTACGGGATTATGCATGCCAAGCTTTCACTGATATCCTTTTCCAATTCATCAAACTGGTGCTACCATAAAGGCTATAACCTAAGAAGTGGATTCAATAAACGTATTTAAAGTTATTTAAATAAACCTGTCGTGAAAGCAATGTGAAGTTTGTCTTTGCACACACACACACTGACTTTACCGTTTTTTAAACATTTGCTTTATCCTGTTTTTTGCACTTTTTTTAAACCTTAACATGTTTTACCTATCATGAAGTACATGGGTGACTATCCATCAAAGCAGTCTCGCTCCCCAGTGGAACTTACAGATCAGATATTCTCAGGCCCAATACGTGAGGAAGCTCTAAGAGATGAAATCTATTGCCAGATAATAAAGCAAATGACAGGAAACAACAACAGGTATAAATATATTTTAGTGTAAACAAGTTCATTATTGTTTAGATATGGGACTAAAACTGGCTATACACTGATCAAAATGTGGACAGTTCAACAGGGGCCAGACAAAGTTCAATCAGTGTGTGGCCATCCCTGCTCCAAAGAAGGCAATTGTTTGATTGATTTCTGTCAAAGGGACATGCGGGAAACTTTTTCTCAGCTGCAGCTACAGTGTCTTCTGATCAATCTATTCTAACCATGGCAGGTGAAGTTGTCACAATACAATGTACCAGCAGGGGGAAATTCCTCCATCCCCCTTGTTTGTGTGGATGGAGGAATCTGTTAGTTTAAAAAAAAAAATAACAGTATATGGCCAGTTTAGGTTAGTAAATTAATGAAAATAAACACAAATGGTTTAGGTTTGACTTGACTGACTAGTGTCTAGAACAAGGGCCTTGAACCTATTTTGGTGAAAACGGGAAGACGTTCTAACTAATAACTACACCATTTCCCAAGTTCTCAGAGACTGAACAGTTTACAAATTTGCAGGTAGAGAAACAAAAATGGTTTGATGGCTTTATTCATATATCAACAAAACACATTAGAAGTAGCCTATTATCTGAATTTCCCCTTATGCCAATGCACCTATGACAGCCTTTGTTTATTCTACGATGTTTGGAGCTTTTATACCTATGTAGTGCAGTGTTGGCCATTTATGGACCAGAACTACATAAAAATCAATTCTTGTGTACACCAAACTCTACAACAATAGCTATGAGAAGAAAGGCCACCACACTCCTTGAGTATTGCTGCTCTCCAGAAGGTGAAGGCAAATGCTACAATTACACCAGAACTTCATTAAATGGCTAGTCTACCTAGAACTGTTATTCAACTCCAGACTGGGCCAACCTCTCACGTTTTTTGTTTTACATTTGTATACATAACTTTTTTACCAAGGTCTCTGGTGTGGTCAATTGACATCATGGGTTATGCTGCAGTTCTCTGCAGCATGCTCCTATGAGCCCACGGTGGTTTTCTGACATGTACCCTGGAGACCCATTATCTTTAAACCCAGAAAAGGAGTGGTGCTGGATTGTGAGGACAGCTGGAGAGGGTGAATTTTGCAGCAATATCTGTTTTTTTTTTTAATTCTAACTGGTATAAATCAGTTGTATTATTTTATTGCTTTCTGTAAGCTACAGTTGGGCTTTTATTATTTAGTACATGTTAGGGAGTTGAACATTTTATGATTTCTTATATCACTGTGGAATCCTGTTCCTGAGTTCCCAAATGTACACACCTGTAGTAACCAAGTAAGGGAGATTTCATGACAAGAGACCCCAAGAGATATAAAGACAGAGGATGCCTGTGCCCAGAATATTCTGCTTATAACTAAAATATAAATTTTGGTGTTATACAGTTGTCCTCAAAAGCCCACTGTACTGCGCTTACATACATAGTTACTGTACATAGTTAGTGTGGTCTAAAAAAAAGACAAAAGTCCATCCAGTTCAACCATAAAAAAAAACTTAATAATCCTATTCCCACAGCTGATCCAGAGGAAGGCAAAAAAAACCCCAGCAAAACATGATCCAATTTGCTCCTGCAAGGAAAGAAATTCCTTCCCGATCCCCCGAGAGGCAATCGGATATTCCTTGGGTCAACTTTACTTATAAATGTTAGCATCCAGTTATATTATGTGTATCTAGGAAATAATCCAGGCCTTTTTTAAAGCAAGGAAATAAAAGCCATTTCAGTCTTTGCAGATGACACCAAGCTGTGCAGTGGAATAACGTCCTTACAGGATGTCTTCAACTTACAAGCTCACATCAATGCACTGTTTAATTGGGCAACTATGTGGCAAATGAGGTTTAATGTTGATAAATATAAGGTTATGCACTTGGGGGCTAAGAATCTGCATGCATCATACATACTAGGGGGGTACAACTGGGGAAATCAATGGTGGAGAAGGATCTGGGAGTTCTGGTAGATCACAAGCTTAATAATGGCATGCAATGCTAAGCTACAGTTTTATAAAATAGCAAAATCCTATCTTGTATCAAAAGAGGTATAGACTCCAGAGAGATATATATCATTTTACCCTTGTACAAATCATTAGTAAAACCTCATCTGGAATATGCAGTTCAGTTTTGGGCACCAATTCACAGAAAGAACACTGAGAAACTGGAGAAAGTACATAAGAGGCACAGAGGAGCTCAGCTATGAGGGAAGATTAGAGGGAACTGAATTTATTCTCTCTTCAGAATAGGAGATTAAGGGGGGATATGATCAACATGTATAAATACATCAGTGGTTCATATAGTGAACTCGGTGTAGAACTATTCACCCTGAGGTCCTCACAGAGGACAAGGGGGCACTTTTTACATCTAGAGGAAAAGAAATTTAATCTCCAAACACGAAAAGGTTTCTTCACAGTGAGAGCTGTGAAAATGTGGAATAAACTCCCTCAAGAGTTGGTTCTGGCCAGCTCAGTGGATTGCTTCAAAAAAGGCCTGGATTCTTTCTTAGATACACAGAATATAACTGGTTACTAATATTTATAGGTAAAGTTGATCCAGGGAATATCCGATTGCCTCTGAGGGGATCAGGATATGCTTCCTGCAGGAGCAAATAGGACCGTGCTTTGCTGATTTTTTTGCCTTCCTATGGATCAACTGTGCATATAGGACTATAACTTTTTTTTTTTTTAATGGTTGAACTGGATGGACTTTTGTTTTTGTCAGTCAGACTAACTATGTAACTTATTGTTGTAGTCTTTTTAAATGTTTAAACAATGATAGAGTTCCTTAATTTTTATATTTAATAAAAGCTCTTTTGTTATTATTTAGAGCTTTTTTAACTTTGGCCGTAAGCCACATAGGTTTGATTTTTAGCCTTTTAAACT